GAAGAAGGATCCAGACCTGAAACGTCAGCTTTCCTGCTCCTCTGATGCTGCTTGGCCTGCTGCGTCCATCCAGCTCTACATCTTGTTATCTCAGATTCTCCAGCATCGGCAGTTCCTACTATCTCTGAATTTTTTTGATTATGTTTGAATTACAAGAATTTTGAATGTATTAAATCATTTGTGTACGTCTGATCTTTGTTTAACACAGATGATGTCTTTGCCCACCAACGGATTAAACGGGATTACTCAATGAACAAATATGGTAAGTCAAAATTTAAAATTCTGTAATAAGATACTATCTCAATAGAGCTAACCATGTCCCCTGGCTATTCATGGGAACAAGTTAAGACAGTGACAAAATGTACACTGGGAAGATTTGAGATCTTGTTTGATGGTTCAGTTCATCGTGGTCAACCCAACTGAGCTCTTTGCTCCCTCTTTTTGATGGTGATATATCTTTGCTGAACTTTATAAAATACCTGCTTAAATGTCTGCCACTGCTCATCCACTGATCTTCCCACTAGTCTATTTGTCCAGCCTGCTTTAGACAACCCTCCTTACATTCCTCTGTATTTAAGCTGAGGACACTGAGTTGAGACTGAGTTGATCACCCAAAAACTGAAATTGAAATTTTACCATGTTGTGATCCCACAGGATCCTGAACAATGAAATCTACTTTTAATCCTACCTCATTACATATTACTAGATTTAAAATAACCTGCTCATGGGTACATTCTGCAATGTCCTGCTTTAAGAAACAATCCCTAATGCTCTCTATAAATTTGTCTTTCATGTTATCCTTCCCCATCTGATCTATCCTGTCAGCAAGCAGACTAAAATCACCCACCTCAGTTGTAGTACTCATGTTCCATGCTCCGTTATTCCATGAATTATGTATTGTTCTGCTATGAGGCAACTCTTTGAAGGACCTAGAGCCAATGTTTCTTTCCCTTGTCATTTGTCATTTCTACCCAAACTGACTTCACATTGTGATCTATTCTATCTATATCACAACTCACCACTACACTGATACCTCCGTTTGTTAACAAAATTCCCCCACCTCCTTTTCCTTTTTTAATAATTCTTCCAGAACATTGAATACCCTTGAATATTATATTTCCAATCTTTATAACCCTGTAACCTTATCTCTATAACAGCTATCAAGTCATATTCATTTATTTCTATTTATGCCATCAGTCTTATTACAAATGCTGCATGCATTCAGTTAAAGGGCCTTAAGCTTTGACTCTTTACCATTATTACTTATTCCATTTCAAATTTCTGAGATACTCTTCTACTTATATTTTTACTTCAGTGGTTCCTCTACAAAGTCTATAATTTTGATGAAGGCTTAAAATCAATTAGTGTACACTTGTCAATTGTGTTCAATTATATAAAAAATTAAATACAGTGCTTTGTGAAGAAATTCTACTTTGAGATCACAGAGTAATGCTTCTGTTTATTGCTAAAATAAAGATCTTGATCAATGTGGTAAACACAGTTACTTAGAGAAGTTATTACAAGCAAAGCGTGTCTTGCATGTAAGGAATTTAGTACTGAATTAGATGCTAAAAGCTGTCAAACTGTGTTATGAATTAAATCTAATTTAAGCATATTTTCTCCTAGAATTGGATGGGTCTGCTGTCACACAAACCTTTAGGCATGCAAGGGAGGTTTCTAGCACCACTTATGAAGGACCTCGTAAGTATATCTTTGCTATTCTTTCCAACATATATGAATATTCAATCACTTCATCCGTCTACACTACAAGATAACATAGAAATTGTCACAACTGTAATGTTTTGATAGCTGTTCCAATGGATGGGTTGCTTTCTTTATATTTCATCAGGTACCTGCAGGACATGGGGTCAAGGAGCAATCAGGACTTACACTGACGATTTTTACCATATGGCATCAACATGTAATTACATTCTGACTCGCCAATGCAAAGGCAACGTGGAAGATTTTAATGTGGAAATCCGGCGAGGCTCAAAAGGCAATTTGGAACACATCTTCATGAAAATTGAAGGCGCTATGATTGTTGTGGCAAATGGGACAATTATCGTTAAAGGCGCTGTGTAAGTTAAGCTTTTATTGTTTGGTTTTGATACTAATTGCAAGACCCAAGCTTATAGAAATGACCAACATCTTCCAGGCTCTGAACTGGGTAAATCTGACAGAACCCAATGCTGCCCCCATATTCCAGCATCCCCATTCTTCAATTCTCCTAGCTAAGCTCTCTGCCTGCAACTGTGCCAGGAATTCAAAGAACAGTACAGCATAGGAATAGGCTCTTTGGTGCACCACAACGTGCCCTTGAATATCAACGTACCCCTCCTGAGATTCACTATCCGCCATGTCTTTCTCCTTTGTGCATACCGATGCAAAGTATTTGTTAAGGACATCAACCACTTTCTCCAGCTTCCCACATAAATTCCCTCCATTGTCCTTAAGTAAACATATCTTTTCCCTAGCGACCCTCTTGCTCCTTATAGATGTATAAGGGATTTTCCTTAATTCTCTTTGCCAAAGACATTTCATGGCCCCTTTTAGCCCTGCTGAGTCCTTGTTTGAGTTCTTTACTGCTATCTTTGTATTCTTTGAGGGTCCCGTCTATTTTCAGTTTCCAAAATTTTTAGCATGCCTCCTTTTTCTTTTTGACTAAATTCCTGCGTCTTCGTTATTTTCCACTTTCATTCAAACAGTTCTTTTGGTGTCATCTCCTATTTCACTTACAGCTGCCCAATATAGGAATTCCTTTGGGGAAATTAATTGTTCATTTTAAATGAGACATTCACAGTTCATTATATTTTCCTCCTTTGTACGAATGGAAAGATTTAATCATATAAACAGATCCCAACATTGATAAATACAGTATTATTGTACAGATCATTAATCAGATTAAATATTACAAGTCAATATTTACAAGAAGCCAATATTTACAGCTTCAATATCTTTTCATTCATTATTTTCTTTTAAATAGAATTTCATTGCCATATGATGACAAAGTGATTAATATTCAGCAATATGGAGTTGGTGTGCGCTTTTCAAACAGGAAACACACTATAATTCTGTTTTGGAATAACCAAGATGCGCTACAGGTAAGGACATTTAGAAAAATTGAAAAGTACATCATTCATTATAAACTAGAGTCAATAGAATGATATAAAAGAACTTTTAAAATTAAATTAATTCTTCTTTTTCTTTAATGTCATTGTTGAACAGTGATGTGAGGCATACTTCTGTTGATTTATACTAAGATATCTCCTTTGTTAGAAAGATCAATTTCCTCACTGTTTAATGCAATGGAGATACATTTATCAAATCATTTGAAGATTTCCAGCTATTGTTTTTCATATTTAAAACTTTTCTGTTTCATTTTCAGGTAACAGTTGATGCTCAATACCAAGGGCAATTATGTGGCCTTTGTGGACCTTTTGATACAAGTGTCTCAACAATCTATGGTAAAAATGGATAAATGTTTTTGTCCTACTCTATGAAACATATCTTCACTTTATTTAGTATTCTGTCCAGCACAATCAATATTTAAACTTGCCCAAAAATAATTGAAGTGATTGAAAGGAAAATAAATGAGGTTCACTTTCTACTTGTACTTTGCAGATTCAGACTATGCCCGACTATCCAAGCTGGATTCTGGTTCCTGCAGTACCACCTTCCCTAAAGATACTAATTGTGCATCAGCTCAGGTAAACCACATAGTTTTAGAGAGTGGTTTAGGAATGGTACAAGTTCTAAAGAAATTAAATACAAATTTAGATGGGCTGAGGAGCCTGGTGACACAAATATATTTAGCCTCTCCATCAATCATCCTGAGAAACTGATAGTGAAATCACTTCCATCCATTTATTTTTCAAGCAAATGATTTTCTCTGCAACTTCCATCACAGTTAAAGAACTTTCCCTGGAAGGCACTAATGAACCAGCTGAGCTTTACCAAATTTGACAAATTTCATTGTGAATGTGACATGTGAGTATCTAATAATTTGAAGTACAAACAACTGAATTGCAGTTTGACATGAATGGAACTTATTACCAGCGTTATAAATGTATATTAATATTAACATGTAACAGCCTATTGACACTTAAACATTATCAGCTTTGAATCATATTAATTTCTGTTGAATTATAAAATATCAAACCCAACGAGCAGAATCTCTTTCGGCACTGAACAAAGAAAGTTGGGAGAATCATTTGAGGTTGGAAGTGAGGAGCTTCCCACTATCAAGTGCTAAAAGCCTCACTTTTTAACTAAGCGTAAATGGCTGGATGAGCCATCTGTGAGTGACAAAATGACAATCAGCTGATTTCTGGTACAGCCCCATGTACAGTCACGGTAATGTTATTACCATACACCCACATTCCTGTCCAAATACAAAATACCCGTGTTAAGTAGATAATGTTTATTTGTTTAGATATGCAGCTTTTGGCTGCACTTAAATTATGTGATGGAGTGGCTAATTTTTTTTTTGCTTATCAATGTTTGCCTTTCCAATAAGAAACATTTTTATTTGTTTATTTCTCTAATTTATTCCTTCAGTAAAAGTCATGTTTCCACAAGGTCAACAACTCTAGTCTCATTCCATTTATTGCAGCACAACATACTGATTTGGAATTTGATTATCTTTATAACTCTTGGTGTTATTTCTTATGTTCAGGTCTGCTCAGAAATATCAACGCTTTTCCCATCTTGTTCTACCAAAGCCATAGAAGATAAATACTTAGAGATGTGTGGGAAGGATGCTTGTGCTTGTAAAGGAACTGGGGGATGTAACTGTGCCAATTTTGCAGAAATATCACATCAGTGCGTACATTCAGATTCTTCAGTCTGGAAGACATGGAGAAAATCGACAAGATGTGGTAAGTCATATTTGCAGAGTCAAGCAGAATTTTAACTAAAGTCTTTTAATGAAGATAAATTATTTCAATCATAAATAAACTCATAAACAAAATTTTAACAACTATCATTAGCCGTATAGCACCAATAATCAGGTCAAATGATAAAATCAAAAACCTTTTCTTTTCAGCACCACCAACCTGTCCTGGGAATCAGATATATATGGAGTGTGGTCCTGTCTGCAAGTCAACCTGTACTGACCCAAACCCTCAGCAACAATGTGATCAGTGTGTGAATACCTGTGGCTGCCCAGAAGGTAGTTACGCTTAAGACTTCTGAACTGTTCAACTTTCTTTGAGAATAATTTTATTTAATGTTATTCATTGCACTTCCAGAAACAAAAGTATTTCTTAGACTGCTTGACTTGGAAGTGAAAAAGTAGAGTCAACAAAATTATGGCAATAGGAGTAAGATTGAATCATTTTTTTGTTTGTTTCCATGACGTTCATGAGCTTGTTTCTCAATTTTAAAATGATTTCTTGAAGCAAACACACATTTCTAGTTTAATATGACTGTTCTATGATCAAATGCAGCAAAGAACTTTCCTTTACAAGGCTTTGGAAGAAATGAATGAAGTTTTCAGTTGTGTAATATTCAGGCAATTTGCATTTTTTTAGAAGAAGCAATGCACTTCCCTTTTAATAATACATTCCTGTGTAATTTGATAGTTCAAGCAATCATACACACAAGTTGGGTAGATTTTTTTAAGCTAGCATTAGATATTAAGGGAATGGAACAAAGTATTTGTGGAATAAAGATGAAATTGCTGGAAACAGGCATTGAAAATGAGATTGCTGTGGATGCTGGAAATGCAAAATGAAAAAAAAAGTCTCTAGAAGAAAAAAACTAATAAAAGTCACAAATGATGCACACTAGTCCAACTTGTCTTGTGTACTTTACAATGGAGGTCCAGTACAGCCAGTAACTTGTTTCCAGTATTATCATTCATTTTAAATCAGTTTTTCCCTTTGAAAGTTTAGGGTAGACAGAGGATTAGAACCATGGGCAGAATTTTATAGTGGAAGGAAAGGTGGCTGTTAACCAATAAGCCAAAGAAATGAAGAAAAAACAAAGAACTATGGATGCTGAAAATCAGGAATAAAAATAGAAATCGCTGGAAAAAAAAAACTCATCAGGTCTGGCAGCATCTGTGGAGAGAAATCAGAATTAATCTTTCAGGTCCAGTGACCCTTTTTCAGAACGGTAACAGCCCACAAAAGCACCCCCCCGCCCCCCCACCCACCACCGGAACCTTATTATCCTGTTGAGATGCTAACTAGATGGAGAGTGGGACTTTTGTCACTCACTGACCGGGCGTGCCACCCTCTGGAGGTGCCAGCCAAGTTGTTTGGCCAGGGTTAAGTAATGGGCACCACTGGGACGACAACGAGTCCCAAGAAGAAGGACCAATGGATCTCAGTCCCAAATAAGGGCATTGGAGGTGGAGGGGAGGGGGTAGAATTTGGACACCTCAGGTATGGAGAGGAAGGAAAGGGTTATGTTCTGCAGATGCACACAGGACACTCTCTGAAGATAGCAACTCTCCTTCCTTCCTGCTTGAACTTTAAATAACATTTACTCCCACTTAACTGCCCATGCCAGCCATATTATGGTGTGGGCAGAGTAATACTTGGGTCAAAGTTTTTAACAACTTCAACTTTCCCGAAATTATTTATTTATATTTGGTGGGTGAGCCGCCAATGTCAGCACCAGCCCACCCCCACATTAGTTGGGCGAGCTCAGGAGTAGACAGAAAGACTGCAGGGTAGCTACCATCCTATTTTCTGTGTCCCTCCTACTCTTGTTAAAAACATAGCCAGCAGGGGCACAAAAAATACAGCCCAACATTAAGAGATGTGAAACATTTAGATTAAGGGGCAAGTGGAGCAAGGACAAAAGAAATGTTTGTAATAGGATGAAGGAGAGGATTGACTGAATGGTAGAAAAATTAGCAACCACCTCTCACCATCCCCCCACCCACCCACACCCCCTCCCCCCCTCCCCCCCACCCCCCCCCAAGGCCAAAGGGAGTGGATGGATATGGGGGAAGAAAATGAAACAAAAGCTGTACTTAGGGAAGATGGCATGTTATTGAAGGGAGAGAAAAAAAAGGAACAAGGGCAGAAGAGGAAACAATGAGGGCAGAATTTATGATCTGAAATTATTGAACTCAATGATGGGTTCAGGAGGAACTGAAAGATGAAGTGTAGCTCAGGAAGCTTATGTTGAGCCTCACACAACAATGCTGTAGGTCAGGGACAAAGGTTTCTGTGTGAAAGCAAGACAGAGAATTAAAATGACAGTTTACAAGCTTTCGGGTGTAAATTGAGTGACCATTTTGGAAAACTGTTCTGGATTGCAAGCACGATCCTTCAACGACACCTTCCATACCAGTGACCTCTACAATCTAGAAAGACAATGGCCGCAGTTGTGTGAAAATGCTGCCATCTCTAAGTCACACACCAGTCACAGGTACACACCATCTTTATTTGGAACTGTATCACCTTTCCTTTATCGTCACTGGGTCAAAATCTCAAAACTCCCTTACCATGGAATAGATGCAACAAAGCACAACAACTGCAGTGGTTCAAGACAGGGCATGAGCAACACGTCCTGATCTACCCACATCCCCTGAAAAAGAAAGCACATAATAATGAATTGTTCTTGCTAACAAAACTCACTAATAAGAAACGAATGAAAACAAAATTCCAGCCTGCACATGACAATTAAACAAAATTAAAACGGACGACAAAGCTCATGGTCTGAAATCGTTCAACTTAATCATGAAGGCTGTAAAGTTACTAATTGGAAGAAAAGCCGCTGTTTCTCCAGCTTGACTCAAACTTCACAAAACAAAACAGCAGCCCAAGGAAAGTGGAGAGAGTGTGAGAAAGATGCTGCAATTCAATGGCAAACAAATGGAAACTCATGAACTAACTTATGGACTCAGTGGAAGTGTTCTTCATTTGAGCACCTCAATATAGGGGAGACTGCATTATGAGCAATGCAAATAGTATACTCAACTGAGAGAAGTACTGGCAAATGACTATTTTACTTGAAAGGAGAGTTTGGGGCTATGGATGGTGAGGAGAGACATGGGATTGGATGGAGGTAGAGGGTGAGTGAGGAGATGTGAAGGGTAGCGACTCGAAGGTCCAATATCTAGGGCAAAGTTCTGGCAAATTTTAAACAGCCCAACTTGGCACTCGGCAACCACAGCAGCATCCTTCTAAGTGTAGGAGTACTCAATCGTAAAGTAGAATAATTTTCTTCTAAATTGTTATTGATTTAATTAATTTGCTATTATTCTGCATTGTATCAGCCTGAACCAATTGGGAGGTGAAGAATTCTTCAAAAAAACTGCTCGCATCTTCTGGTAAATGTCATATTCCTTGTTATTTGCTATGAGCAAAAACACTGAGCTATTTATTTTATTTTTCTTCAGGCACTGTCCTTGATAATATACGAGGTGATGACAGATGCATCAGCCAAATGGAATGTCCTTGTGAATATGGTGGGACTGTATATGAGTCTGGACAAATAAGAAACTCTTTCTGCCAGTCATGGTAAAAATAATTACTTATTTAATTAATTATAACACACATCAATAAATGAATGTGAAAACTTTTAACAAAAATACCTTACTATAAATTACTTTGTTATGATTTTAGCATCTGTCAAAGGGGAATGTGGGAGTGCGCTGACCTTAACTGCCCTGAAATTTGCAAGATTGAAGAAGGAACTCATATTACAACATTTGATGGCAGATACTATAATTTGATTGGTGACTGTTCGTACTACGCTATTGTTGTAAGTCAGATTTTGCTGATTAACTGTTTCCAATTGCTGTCATTTAATTTTTGAAATAAATCCTTTGCTTTAAAATTGCACATCTTGCCAATCAAAATCATTTTTAACTTTTGCAATTTTTAATTTTTCACAGACAAAATACTGGTCAGTAAAAATTGAAATGCATCCATGTCAAGTAGCATATAAGCAGACATGTTTACAGAGAGTTACATACACAAAGTATCAGGTAAGAGTTTGCAATATCCGTGAGTACACTTTGTACTCCAATTTGTTATTTTCTGAATGTTAAAACACATTTTCATTTTCATTCTAGGACAGCTACGTATTCAATAATGATGGTACTGTTGACTATAATGGAAATAGAGTTGGACTTCCTCTAGTAAATGGTAAAATAGCTTTTATTTGAGGTCAAACAGTTTAACAAGTAATGATTAAAAAAGAAGTTAATCTCTCATTCTTTTTTTAACAGGTCATATAATAATATTTCACGAGTCTTCGATATTCCTTCAAGTATCAACAGAGTATGGGTTGAAGATGCAAATACAGATACATCCCATCATGCAGCTTTACATCTCATTGCCCAAAACTGCCAAAGGAACCACAAAAGGTACAACATTCCACCAAATAGTACACTCCAGTGACTGGGTCTAAAACAGCATTGTTCTGATCCTATCAAATTCCCAACGAGCAAGTTAGGTTAAAATCTCCTTGTTTAGACAAAACAAAGACATTCTTGTGTAACCTTTCAAAGAAATGTGGATTATTAATGAAATCAGTTGATTTGTGGTTATCCATGACAGTAGGTTATGTGTGACCATAACAGTTCTCTTGCAATGATCCGTGCTGTTCCATCTCCAGGTTTATGTGGAACCTTCAATCACAATGCGGAAGATGACTTTCTATCTGCCCAGGGCATCGTGGAGTACACATATGTAGCTTTTGCTAACTCTTGGAGAGAAGGTGATAATTGCCCTCCACCACAAGTGAACCCGACCTGCATTAGCTCAGAAGATGGTAGGTTTAAATGGAATCTTCCTCTAGGTGGTCAAATTGCTTCTCTTTCTTTAAGAGGACTTTCCAGCCTGAGTTCACACTATTCAGAAATAACAGCCTCTCTCATTCTTTGAACAGGCATCAAAGATTGACCTAATTGTTTTTAACGTGCATTAAAATTTTGATTGAAAATTCATTTGCTCCAATAATCTAATAGAAACTGGTGGTTGGAATCTCATGGAGATTGTGAAGTATTCTACAGTGAGATTTGTGGCAGAATTAGCCCATTTCCCTCTAAACTGTTCCTATTCATGTATCCATCCAGATGCCTTTTAAAATGTTGTAATTGTATCTGCCTCCACCAATTCCTCTGGCAGCTCATTCCGTACATGCACCACCGTTTAGGTTCTTTTTAAATCTTTTCCCTCTCACGTTAAATCTATGCCCTCTACTTTTGGACACTCCTACCCTCGGAAAATGACCTTGGCTATTCAGCCAATCCATGCCCCTCATGATTTTATAAACCTCTATAGGTCGCCCCTTCAAACTCCAATGCCCCAGTAAAAAATGCCCCAGCCTCTCCCTATAACACAAATCCTCCAGTCCCGGCAACATCCTTGTAAATCTTTTGCGCATCGTCTCAATTTGACAACATGTTTCCTCCAGCAGGGAGACCAGAATTGAACACAGTATTCTGAAAGTGGCCTAACCAATGTCCTGAACAGCCAAAATGTATGAGATTATGGTGAGAAGGCAGGGGAATGAAACACACTGTTTGAAGGCTGTTTATTTCAGGGCTTGTTGTTCTGGAAATATGTCATTCCACATGATCTTAATTTCAAGTTTAATTTTCTTGTACTGGAATTTACATTCAATGAATTGGTACAACACTAGGGGGAATCTTTTAAAATTTCCCTTTAAACTCTTAAAGATTATTAGATTATGGAAGAAACATTCCCTGAAGAAGATCATTTACTTCTTGCAGGCTGACCTAAATGTATTCATTTTCCTAAGTCTTTTCACTGTCTGTAGTTTCCAGAATGCAGATTGATGTACACAAATTAAATCAGCTCAAATGTAACAATCGAAAAAGGTTGTTTTTGCATGGATTATATAAATAAAAACTATTTTCAATACAATCTGTTGAAAAGTGATTGAATTGCTGATGCTTCTTATAATCTCATGTATATCCTATAAAGTAACCTAACCCCTGGCACAGGCCTAGTTTACATCAATATTTGCTGATCTGACTGGCTCAGAGTTAAGGCAAAGAGGGTTCAGTAAGTAACTTGTGAATCTAAAATTTCTCTTGACTTCATCTGACACACACTCTGGATGGAAATAGCGATGAAAGTTGCCCACGTATCCATTAGCAGCCATCCCCTTCATCACCCAAATGAATGAAACAATTTTGACACTATATATGGGAAGATAAAAGGTTATGCAGCACATATCCCACCACTTTACATTTTATACAACCATATCTTACATTTGTATTTCAGAAATCTATGCCAAACAGAACTGTGCCTATTTAAAAGACCCATTGGGTGCCTTCGCTGCCTGCCATTCTGTAGTGGATTTTGCCAAATATTATGAAGTAAGTCAGAATTCTGTTTGAACGTTTGGAAAGAAAATATATCATAATTAAAATAAAGATCAAAGTTTCCTTTGAAATTACATTTTAGTTATAATCAGTTGAGAGTCACACTTATGGAATAGAATTTACTTCTTGCTCACAAATCTAGGGCAGAATTTAAATAGGAGACACTCACCATGGATGTTGTGCTGTCTCCTGTCAAATTTGAATGAAGTATTAGTGACAATGGGCCTTAAGAGAAACAATAGCATGAAAATTATTTTGTTACATTTGGATGCACAAGTCAGATTATGCTCCCAGACATTCAGATATACCAAGTTCCCCATTATCTTAACAAAACAATGTTGTCTATTGGGCAGAAATTTACAGATTAATTTTCTTAATTATTACAATAAAATTCACAGAGTTGTTAAAATTAAGTTTCTGGAAATGTAGTAAGCCATTTAAATAGAATAATATTTATTTTCTGTGCAGCATTTAACTCACAGTGACACCTACAATGGAGATATTAAAAGTGGTCACTTATGTCAATGTTTTTTTGTGTTGCATGTTTTAGATGTGTAAAGTTGCCTCATGTAATTGTGAGAAGGTCAATGATTGCATCTGTGCTGCACTGGGAGCTTATTCTCATGCCTGTGCTGCTAAAGGCATCATTGTGGGCAGTTGGAGAAGATTAATTTGCAGTAAGTGATTTGTAATCACATGATATGTTATAATCAGACATAGATATAATAGAGCACCATTCAGAAGAGGAGAGTGGTGTTCATCTCCTCAGATCCTGTTGGCCAATCAATTATATCGTGTAGATCTGAACCTTGACTCCAAATTCCCACCATTGCACCATTACCCTTTAGCTGTGTTCCTCTAATTCTCTTCACTTGAGCATCTTTGTTCTAATATTAGTTGCTTCACTGTTTCTGGCTGTGTCTTCAGCCACCATTTGAGCTCAGGAATTCCCTCCCTAAACCTTTCTGTCTTTCTATTTGTCTTTCTTCATTCCAACGTGCTTCAGAGGAGTGCTATAAAGCGACATTTGACAGTAAATCAAATAAGAAGTTATTAGGGCAGATGGCCAAAAACATGATTGAGGGGTAGGTTCTATTTGGAAACTACCCCCTCAATCATGTTTTTGGCCATCTATCCGACTAGCTTCTTATTTGATTTATGTTCAAATATCGCTTTATAGCACTCCTCTGAAGCACGTTGGAATATTTTGTTACAATAAGGGTGTTTTACAAATACAAATTAGTTTTGTTGCTGCCCATATCTAAACAAAAAACACTCTCTCAATATGTGTGTTGAAAGCTGCAAATATCCCACTTCACTTTTTGGTAGGGAATATTAACCTTTGAATGACAATTCATCAATATTTTAATGGTGGAATATTCTATTTATCTTAAGGCTTTGTTTTTAGCTCTTAAATCGTATACAAAATAGTAAATGATAGCTGTTTCAAGCCTTTGAAGTACTAGATAAAGCTTTAACCTTTAATCAGTTCTTTTCTTTACCTCTTGTGCAAGACAAAAAAAAGCCCCAGAGGGCATAATCACTCTAACATATTGCACTAATCCACCTGTTCAGAGTTATTACTGCACATGTTGGAGTAGATGGGACTTGAACCTGGCCCTCTTGGCCCAGGGATAGGTACTCTAAAACTGCATTGCAAGGGGGCTCCCAGATGCTATGTCACACCTCTGGAGTAGTTGGGACTTGAACTGGTCTTCCCAGTCCAGGAATAGGGACACCACCAGTGTGCCACAAGAGGGCTCCATAATCACTCTTCTGTCTTTCCATCTGGTCATTATTGTTGTCACTGAACTCTCCTCAATAATACGAAAACACAATCAAGATAGAGGAACTGGAAATGGGGCAAATATTCATTTCTACTATTCTAAAGGCATGTCTTTTGATTTGTCTGTCATATTCTGGCGCCTCTATTCATGCTTTGAGCAGCTGTGGAAATATATTGAAACACTGTCCTTCTTTCTTATGACTGCTTGCAATTCTGGCTAGCTCCATCATTCTATTTACTTACATCCTTTTACATCATTCATCATGAATTCCTGATGAATTGTCCTTATACAAGTTGACAAGTGGATATGCATTTTCAGAGATGATTGTTGCTTTGCCCTAGTCACTACTGAACAGCACCAGCTTTCTGAACACCAATCATACTTCATCAGGGCATCTACTGGCACTGCACCATCGTTAACACAAAGCAATGCTTTAGCGATCGGAGTATGAAACACCTCTTAGTAGATCGGTGCATAAGAAATTAGAAGCAGGGCTAGGTGACTCAGGGACTGCCATTTAAGCAGATTGTAGCTGATCTGTGAATACCATAACCCCACTAAGTAATTTTAATGTTTTTTGTGTAAACATGGAGGGGCTCGATAGCTTATGTCCTTTGGTTACAGAATGTGGAATTTGTTGCACAGTCTCAGGAAGAGAGGGCCAATCATTTAGGACTGATATGAGGATGATTTGCAAACAGAAGCAAAATACTGCAGAAGTAACATAACGGTGTGGTAGCTTTAGAAAAAACATCTCATTCATAATGATCATAATTTCATTCCATTTTAATAAGTTTTCAACCAAAGAACGGGACGAAAACCTTGCTACATGTATACAAAATATTGCTGCCATGCTTTTAAAAAATAAATCTGTGGTTGTGACAAAAAATTGCATTTTCTCATTTATAAATATATTTTGCTTAATTAACAATATATTTTTGAGTATTCTGCATACAGGACTTGAGGCTGAAATAAATTGGCTGATGTGGAACCCTTCCTGTTTTTCTCAGGTGTAACCTGCCCAAGTACTCAGGTTTTCCAGTATGGTATGACAGCCTGTAACCGTACGTGCAGATTCCTGTCAAGACCTGATATCACCTGTGAGGTTCAGGATGTACCAGTAGATGGATGTGGCTGTCCCGAGGGAAAGTACATGAATGAGAAAGGAGCATGTGTGAGCAGATCAGAATGCCCATGTTATTTTGGTAGTTTCATTGTGCAAAAAGACCAGCCTATTAATGTTAATGGAGCTCAGTGGTAAGTATTTTTATTTTGCTCGGCACAATTTGTATCAAATGTTACGAGCAAAAGCATTAAAATAACCAAGTGTGATTCTTCTCTCAGTTTCTGTGTCAATGGAGTTCCTTCCTGCCCTGGTGTAGACAGCCCATCTGTACAAGATGGTAAATAATTTAATTGTTACCAGTCTCTGTTAAAACAATTGAGAGACAACATTTAAAATTAAAATCAATCTATGGAGTAATAATTTCTGTAACATGTGCTGCTGTTCTTTTCTTTAGATTGTGGATCAAAAATATTTTCGGACTGTCAGACGACTTCAGTATGTAGAAAGACGTGTCAGACGTTAAACACACCGTGCGTAAGTGACCCTAAACTTATACCTTGGTTTTTCTATGTCTTAATTTATAGGCCAATGGGTTGAACAATGCCTCAAGGCAATTATTTTTAACAGGATTAACCATATAATATATGAAATGATCAATTCTAGATGCTGTAGCAATGTGTTTAATACTCGCTGGACTTTCAATGAAATTTGTAACACAAAGAGCAAAAGATCTTACGCAAACACTGACTGTTTTTTTTTTGCACGATAAATGATGGAAATATGACATAATATTTCACCTTCATGATGATTAATCCATACATCCTGTACATATGCAATGACCAACACTGCCAATTGAGACATTGTGTATTCTCTTTTATAAAGCCAAATCCTTGTGTCCCTGGCTGTGTGTGTCCCGAAGGCTTGGTGGAAGATTACAGTGGAAATTGCATTTTACCAGAAAAGTGTCCTTGTTCATATGGTGGTGAAATCTTCAGTTCAGGAGAAACAATCAAAAGTGACTGCAATGACTGGTGAGCTTGTATAGATATTACAATCTAATACAACAAAACAATATGAAACTAACTATACAAAATTGAAGAAATAAATAATTTGGATGTGAACATACGAGGAATGGTTAGTAAGTTTGCAGATGATACTAAAATTGGTGGTGTAGTGGACAGTGAAGAAGGCAATCTCAGATGAGACAATGGGCCAAGGAGGCGCAGATGGAATTTAATTTAGATAAATGTGAGGTGTTGCATTTTGGTAAGGCAAATCAGGGCAGGGTCCTGGGGAGTATTGCCGAACACAGAGACCTTGGAGTGTAGATTCATAGCGCCTTGAAAGTGGAGTCACAGGTAGACAGGGTGGTGAAGAAGGCAATTGGTACAGTTGCCTTTATGGTCAGTGCATTGAGTATATGTATTGGAATGTCATATTGCAGCTGTGCAGGACATTGGTTAGGCCATTTTTGGAATATTGCTTTTAGTTCTGGTCTCCCTGCTGTAGGAAAGAAGTTGTGAAACTTGAAAGTGTGCAGAAAATATTAACAAGGATGTTGCCAGGTTTGGAGGTTATGAGCTATTGGGAGAAACTAAAATAGGCTGGGGTTATTTTCCCTGGAACATTGGAGGCTGAGGGATGACCATATAGAAGTTTATAAAACCATGAGAGGCATGGATAGGGTGATTAGCCAAGGTCTTTTTCACAGGGTAGGGGAGTCCAACACTAAAGAGCACAGGTTTAAGGTGAGAGGGGAAAGATATAAAAGAGACCTAAGCGGAACCTTTTTCACACAGAGGATGGTGTGTGTATGGAATGAGCTGCCAGAGGCAGTGGTGGAGGCTGGTACAATTACATTTAAAAGACATTTGGATGGGTATGTGAATAGGAAGGGTTTGGAGGGATATGGGCTAAATGGGTCCAGACTAATTTAGGATATCTAATCGGCATGGATGAGTTGGACCGAAGGGTCTGTGTCTGTGCTGTACAACTCTATGACTATATAACAATATTAATCTGTACATTTTATATTGCAGCACATGCAAAGGTGGTTTATGGACATGTACTGATTACTCATGTCCAAAGACCTGCCTAGTTTACGGAGATGGTCACTATATAACCTTTGATGGAGAAAGATACAGCTATGATGGGAACTGTGAATATGTCATTGTCGAGGTAATTATAGTGCTTTTTTGATGATTCTTCAGTTGTACCACCTATAGAATTGTTTAGAAAATGTTGGATGTGAATGTGGAAAGTTAATAACTCCCTAACAACAAAGGGTGGGCTTACAAAAGCATGGACTTCAGCTATTCATGAGGGTAGTATCATATCAATTTCTCAAGGGCAGGTAGGCAATAAATGTTGGCCATATCATTGAAACCCACATCCCAAGGTTAGCAAAAATGTGCTATGTAGTTAGCGCTCACTGGCAAACGCAGCAATTGTTTAATTACCTTGATGCAATTTGAAAGTAAGTCAAAAATATTATGATGGCAGTAGCCTCATAAATGTTCAATGATGTATAATAAATGGCTGTTGTATAGGGGTAGAGAAGGGAGCCAAAAAGGAAGACAATTTGTTATTTTTTTCTGAAGAGGGGTCCAGACCCGAAACAACAGCTTTCCTGCTCCTCTGATGCTGCTTGGCCTGCTGTGTTCATCCAGCTCTCAGATTCTCCAGCATCGGCAGTTCCTACTATCTCATAATTTGTTGTATCTGTTACGCACATCTATTATATGTGACTGCATTTGTATCTACAGGAATGCTTTTGAGTGTATTCTGAAATAGGTTTGAGAAAAGCATGATTGAACCTCAGATCTTTGCCACAGAGAGGGAAGGAGTCAATGGTTAGGGAGCAGAGAAAAAAAGGAAATGTTTTTATTTCTGAATAGTTAACTGAAAGAAGTTTTTGCTTATCCAATACTGAATATCAGATAAGCAGTCGAAGAATTTAAAAACAACGGAGTGTTCAAGAGAGTTGATGGGGAATTAAAGCTGGTTGTCGTCAGTATTAGTGTGGTAACTAAGAGTGGAACATATTTAGTTTCAGTGTCAAGGGTTCACTCAACTGGTTGGAAAACTGGAGCAATCCATTGGCTGATTCATTGGAAAAACCCATACAATTTAAATGGAGACAAGCACAGAGGAAAATCTGAGCCACGATTAACTGCTAGAAGAAGGAGGCATAATTGGGTTTAAGTGGCTCATTAACCAGCCTAATTGATATCCAGTCATAAATGGGTGAGATCTCTGCAACAACCTCTCCTCACACTAATTTCCCAATAGATTTTCTGACATGAGCAATTGAAAGCAGGTACATCATTAATTCTCCTGCCATCTCCCTCCCACCACATCCTCAGCCTCATTCCTGCGGTCGCAGGTCTCATTAATTCCCAGTCACCGTGTTTTTGAATGAAAGCAATGTTGAGTCAACTTGTAGATGAGAAAATGGAGGAGCTAAGGCTGGCTCCTCGATGTGGGAGAGATTGGGGAGCATAGGAGCAGGAAGAGAAAGTGTGGTACATGCTTCTCTGGCTATAATTAGACAGATAAGGATCAGATGCCGTCATGAATGTTTATATTTCATTAACAAGTTAAAAATTGCATTTGAATTGTTCAGTTGGCATTCATCCCAGATTACATGCCAAGGTTCCAATGCACAATTTCACACAAGTCAATTTTATTTTAGGATCAATGTCAACGAGCAATCGGTACATTCCAAATACTGACAGAGAGTGTTCCCTGCTGTGAAAATGGAGTGACTTGTTCACGGAATATCAGGATTTTATTTGAGGTGTGTGTTTTGATTTATAATTTACAATGCACCTATTGGATATTTTAGTGCATGAGCTAATTTAAAATGATTACGTCATAAAAATTCCTGATTTTTTTATAGGATAGAGAACTAATTCTCTTGAGTGGGAATGGAGTAACTGAAGTGTCCCTTGGGAAAACCCAGTGCACAGATAATCTCTACACACTTCACACTGTTGGACTCTATTTAGTCCTGAGATTTTCAAATGGGATCACCGTGATATGGGACAAACGTACAAGATTGTCAATCACACTGGATGCAACGTGGAAGGTAAGTACAATGTGGAAATTCATAGTATTCCCTCACATTTGTTCATCAATAGAGAAAACATAATAAGAAACTGGAATTAACTGTGGGACTTGATAAACTTCTATGACAAGATGGCTTATGTGCATGTTTATCAAAAGTTACAGAACCACAGTGAAAATACTATGGAGGAAAGATGGAGATATTTCCGGAGATTCTGTTAGAGGAAACAGCTGGGGAATATTTATCCATTTAGATGTGGAGAAACATAGAAATGTAGAGACTAAAATGTGCCAGCTGGACAATATATGAATGAGGAGTTAAATTATTCAACAGAAAAGCAAGCAGAATGCATACAAAATAGAACTGGCTGAGAGGTTGAGGATAACATGTTTTAACATGATGTTGATGATTGAGAAATGTGTTTGATGGAATGGGTGTGAGTGGCAGGAAACTGAGGCTTTAAGACTGCAGGTGGGTGACCCAGGGTGCAGCTGGAGGCTAAGGTGGGAAACAGCTAGATCAAACACAAAGCTTGAAGCACTGGCCTTAAGACTAAGATGATGGGAACAACAAAGTGAGAATGTAAAACAGAGCCGTTGTAGACTGAAACTGTATTGTTCAACATCACCAAAGAATATTATTGAAATATATTTAGAGTAAATGCTTTGCATTCAGAACTGAATTACATACTTGGAAGCAGAGAGGCAAGATGCAAATTTAATTTGAGGTTATTATTACTTGCGTTACCTTGAAAAGTATAACGGAACATATATTACAGTTTTATAATAGTAATTATTGCTTTAATTTTTTTTTGTGCACTTAAGAACAAAGTTTGTGGCCTCTGTGGAAATTTCAATGATGACATTGAAGACGATTTGACGACAAAGTGGAATTATGTGGTGACCAGTCCTGTGGAGTTTGGGAACAGTTGGAAAACATCACAGTCCTGCTCCAATACAGTGAACCAAACATTCCCTTGTGACAGGAATCCATATTGTTTATCTTGGGCTCAGAAGAGATGCAACATAATTAAGGGCGCAGTCTTTCAAGCTTGCCATAAAAAGGTTAGATGATCAACAATTATAAAGAGATATGAAACTCTTACAAAAAGCTCCAGTGATTTCTGATCCTGTGGTACTTTATCAGGTTGACCCAACCCCATACTATGATGCATGTGTCGAAGAAGCTTGCGCTTGTGATATGGAGGGAAGATATCTGGGCTTCTGTACCGCAGTAGCAGTGTATGCGGAAGCTTGTAACAAAGTTGATGTTTGTATTCACTGGAGAACCCCAGACCTGTGTCGTAAGTTTATATTTCTGTTTTCCTTGTTACAAATAATCAAAATGTGAGCCCTTAGGTTTATGTTAATAAACATTATAAAATGTGAGAACTGATTTTGTTTTAAATTGGAAAATGTTTTGTATTAACTTTAAAGGTCAGGAGATTTAAATGCCTTGAGAGTTTACCCACATTTTTGCAAACATTCACATTTACTTTCAACAATCCTCAACTTAACTTCTCCCAAAGGGCACTCTAACATTCTCAAAGGTGCCCTTGGACCCATCTAAAAGGGTAACCTGCCTCTCCAAAGAGCATGAGTAAATTCAAACTTTTACGTGAAAAGTGTAAGGGGCACAACTGGTGTTTTGAGCATCCACCAAGTGAAATTTGGATCCGTTTAAAGGCAATTGTGCATTTATATGTGCAGCTTCCTCCATTATCCAGAGCTGTGCAAACTACAACCTTCAGCCAGCCAGTGAGAAGACGAGATTTCCAGAATGTGGAGCTCCAGCACAATTTTGGCTAAGTTGGAGAAATGAACTTCCTCCTTCTTAAAATTCAAGCCAGTTTGTATTTTGCATTGATGATTCAAATTGTGTTTGATTTAGAAACTACGTAAATGACTAATGATCAAATTTTAATTGTTTCTCTTTCACATTACAGCTGTGTATTGTGACTATTATAATGCTCCTGGTGAATGCAGTTGGCATTATCACCCATGTGGAACATTGAGAACAAAAACCTGCTCAGACCATTCCATTGCAAAGAAGTTATCTGCAAATCTTGAAGGTTGTATTCCTATCATATTTGATTTTGCATTAAACCATATTTCTAAGACTTTTTAAAAAATGTATTTTCATGCTGTGATTGTAGACTGTGATTTTTGTTGCCATATTAGTTGGTTAATTACGTTTCCCCAATTAAATTTGTACCTTTAATGAAGGTTAAACATTGCAGCTTCTAGATAACAGTGTACCATAAATGCAGAGTTTTTTTGTTTGCTTTTTGCAATCCCATTCCATACGAGAAGCAGAAATTGAGAAATCATACATCCCAGCTCTAGTGATTACCTGATTTGTCTTTCAGTGCATACTGGAAACCACTCAACAATCTGAGTGTGTTTTGTAACTGGAAAACACAGAAATATTTTGGTGTCTGACTGATGCTTTGTTCATTTTCTGCTTTTAATCAAGATGTCCAGCATTCACAGATTTTCTGTTTATCTTCATGTTGATTTTACTTTTCACTGTTTTAGGTTGTTATGCCAAATGCCCAGAGAGTGCTCCTTATTTGGACGAAAATACAATGAAGTGTGTTACACTACCTCAGTGTACTTGTTATTACGATGGAAGAATCCTTCAACCCGGTGAAATAACATGGAATGACTGTGAGAAATGGTACAGTTTCCACACAGTTACTTGACTTGATCACTATTCTCATTCTAAAAGCTAAATCATAATTGGAAAGCATCAGGATCTTTACATCCTTTAATTGTTAAATCATTCACATGGAAATTTTGTAAAGAACCATCCTTAATAAGTTAACAATCATTCCAGGGGACATCTTTCATTCAACAACAACCAGATCAACTCAATTTCAGTAATATTTGTAAGTGACATCAGGAACAGAGACACAAATCATGGATCTTGGTGCTGCCCCAGGCCCTGGCTCCCGAGTACAGGGATCTCACCCATGACTTGAGCATATTGGGCACCTTAGAGCCCTGACTCCTCGTTATTGGGCCCTGATGTACACCCTTATCCTGTGCCTTGGTTAGGACAGCACAGATTTTGATTAATTGTACAAGGATATTTCATATTGTGAACCACTTTAATCATAGAAAATCAATTTTGTGAATTTAAAATTGAGACTATAGATTATAAAATGGATATTTTGATAATTAAATACAAAATACATTTTTACAATGCTCTCCCAACTGAACTAATAACTTGTTGTTGACTATGAAATCAATGTTACTACCTTTACTCTGTCTTTCAAATTCACAATAATCTCCTCATACTTATTTCTGTGATTTATACTTTTGTTACACTTTTGCTTGTTTTCTGATTCTTCCTGTTGTTCCTTGTTCCCTCCACCTTTAGCATCTTATCTGTCAATCCATACGAACGTTTCATTAGAAGATCCATCTTTTAGCAATGCTCCCTTGTTACCCTGTTCCTTGCATTTAGAAGCCTCCCAATGACCTCCACCTCTACTTGTGAATACAGAGGCTGCAATTATTTTTCCTTTTTGCCTTCCTGCTTTATACCTATTTGTTATAGAATAATAATCATAGAGATGTACTGCACAGAAACAGACCCTTTGGTCCAACTCATCCATGCTGACCAGATAATCTAGTCCCATTTGCCAGCATTTGGCCGATATCCCTCTAAACCTTTCCTATTTATATGCCCATCCAGATGCCTTTTAAATGTTGTAATTGTACTGGCCTCCACCAACTCCTTGGCAGCTCATTCCATACACACACCACCCTCTGCATGAAAATATTGCTCCTTATGTCCATTTTAAACTTTTCCCCTCTCACCTTGAACCTATGCCCTCTAGGTTTTGAATTCTCCTACCCTGGGGAAAAGACCTTTGCCATTCTCCCTATCCATGACCTTCATGATTTTGTAAACCTCTATAAGGTCACTCTTCAGCCTCTGATGCTCTAGGGAAAGTTTTCCCAGCCTATTTAGCCTCTCCCAACAGCTCCATCCCTCCAGCCCTGGCAACATCCTTGTAAATCTTTTCAGCATGTTTTCAAGTTTCACAACATCTTTGCTACAGCACGGAAACCAGAATTGAATGCAGTATTCTAAAAGTGGGCTAACCAATGTCCTGTCCCACAGGAGATAACCTCCCAACTCCTATTATTGAATCCACTGACCAAAAAAGGCAAGTGTACCAAACTCCTCCTTCACTACTGTATCTACCTGCAACTCCACTTTCAAGGAACTATGAACCTGCACTCCAAGGTCTCATCATTCAGCAACAATCCCCAGGACCTTGCCATTAAGTGTATAAGTCCTGCCCTGATTTGCCTTTTTAAAATGTAGCACTTCACATTTATCTAAATTAAACTCTATCTGCCACTCCTCGGCCCATTGGTCCATCTGATCAAGGTCCTGTTTTAGTCTGAGTTAACCTTCTCCACTGACCATTACACCACCAGTTTTGGTATCATCTGCAAACTTACTAACCATACCTCTGATATTCACATTCAAATAATTTATATAAATGACAAAAAACAGTGAACCTAGCACCAATCCTTGCGCACACCGCTCGCTGGTCATAGGCCTCCAGTCCAAAATCCAACCCTGCCCCACCACACTCTGTCTTCTGCCTTCAAGCCGGTTCTGTATCCAAATAGCTAGTTCTCCCTGTATTCCATGTGATCTAACATTGTTAACCAGTCAACCATGAGGAACCTTGTCAAGTGCCTTACTGAAGTCCATATGGACAACATCCACCGTTCTTCCTTCAACAATCCTCTTCATCACTTCTTCAAAAAATCTCAATCAATTTAGTAAGACATGATTTCCCACGCACAAAGCCATATTGACTATCCCTAATCAGTCCGTGTTGTTCAAAATTCTGTGAAGCATTTTACACTTGTACCTTGTTGTAATACTTTATTTGTTTCATTTATAGTATGTGTACCAATGGAGTCACGCATTGCAAGCGTAAGTAACTTTTCATCTCAGCCTTCAGTTGTTAACTCAATGCATGTAAAATGTCTATTTCTGTTTGGTTGCAGGACAGTGCTTGTCCTCTTAATTCCCCAGTATTAATATTAGCAACTGCTGTAGTCTATTTAATGTTTAAAGGCTTATGGCCTACAGTTCAAACTCAGAGTAAAAATACATTCTGTTGCAAATAATTAAATAACGTTCACTTGCTCAAATGAGTAGATATTATTCCAGTGGATAGGAGGTTTGGTTTGAGTCTAAAGTCAATAATTGGAGTCCAGTGAGCCATGAGGCTCAGTGATTTTTCATTGGGGCACACTCTAGTTTCTCGCTTTCTGTCTCCCTAATTTTTTGATCAAAGACATTACAACACTATTTTTTATTGTAGTGAAACCTTTCAGAATTTAGAGAATGTTGGAAACCTAAATCTACATATCAATTATTTCACAATCAACTTCTTTTAAGATCCAAAGATGAAGTCCATCAGCATCAAGGGCACCGTCAACTTATAACTCCAAAAATTTGCTCAGTCACATTTCCCCACTGATCATTATTTTCTAGAGTTCCTATCTCCTGTCCTGTTTGACAGCTCATTCTGGGATATTACTTGAATCCTCAATAGTGAAGAATAATGGAAAATACCTCTTCAGGTCAATTGCCATCTCCATAATTTCTATTATTATTTTCTATAGGATCAACAATCACTTTGCTACCTGTTTCCATTTTTAAACTTTTTATTGAAACTCTTACTATCTGTTCTTCTACTTCTATTTAGCATTTTCATAATAACAAGTAGTGTTAAAAAAATATTTCAAGCCTTTTCCAATTTCTTACAAATTTGTTGTAGCTGCAAAAGATAAGGTGATTTGAGTGACAGTAAAGAATAATGCAATGGGGTAATGAACAATCTATTTTCTTTCCAATTGATGCAGAAGGCTTGCTGCATGAGAACAGACATGTTAAATGCCCAAATGGGGAGCATGAGGGTATGACAATTGAAGAGAGGATATCAAGTGATGAAATATTCAGAATTGCATCCACCTACATACAGTCACATCTTTACTGGGCCGTTTTCAGTTGTAAAACTTACTCCTGCTCTGCCCACATTCCCTTAACCTCACTCAAGTGTCACTCAATTCCAACATGAAATACTCCAGTGTCAATTGTATTCCTCATCTACCTAGTATTTCCATATTTACATAGTACCTACTGTGAGCTTTAAATAAAAGTGCACTCTTGTTTTGTGCATCTGGGAACTGAGTAACAGTACTGAAAAATGTCATGTTTAGAATAGAACTGCAGAGATATTTGAGGTATGTTTATCACAACAGGATTTACAACCACAACTGTATCATCCACTTCAACTGCAATTATATCGCTGACAACAACATTTTCTTCAACAATAAAAAGCACTGGTAAAGAGAAAACCATACTTATAAAGCAATGTGACAGTTGGCAAATACAATATTATTTTGTATAGTTTAAGAAACAGGACCTGAAAACAAATTTCCACCACAATAAGGTGCTATGGGACTGTCAGAGGTCCTGAATTTTGAATGAAATTAAACAAAGGTGCCATCTATCTTCTCAAGTAGGTGCAAAAGATCCCATTATACTCATGATTTTCAAAACTTCTATTGAATCTCCACTTAGCCTTCTCTCTGAGGTGAATGTTCCAAACCTCTCCAAACTATTCCCAGTAACTGAAGTTCTCATTCTTGGGAACCATTATTTTACACCTCTTCTCTACTGTCTCTAGTGTGCTCACATACGTCCTGTGAAGTAACAGTGACACACAATAATCCAGCAAATGTCTCATAAGTTCAGTATATCCTCCTTGCTCTTTTACTCCATGCCCCAGTCAATACAGCCCAGGCTACTGGATATTGTATTATCCGCTCTCTTCACCAGGCCTATTAATTTCAATTATCTATGCACATATATATCCAGGTGCCTCTGCTCCTTCACTTTATTAAGAAGTATACTCTGCACAAAGAGATCTAGACTACTAAGGTATATCAGGAATAGCAAGGGGACCAATGCCCATATCATTGCTAATTCACTACAATCCTCCTTCCAGCACAAAAAAAAGTATTGATTGACCATCGATCTCTGTTGCTCATTGCTCAGCGAAATCTATATCCATGTTGCAACTGCTCCGTTTATTCCATGCGCCTGGGCTTTTCTGACAAGTTTGTGATATGGCACTTTACTTTTTTGTTATACCTCATTTTGAATTGCCAAATTAGAACTCACATTTGCCAAGTTACATGTTCTTGAATACAATTTTTCCTGTTTAAGTGAATGCAACATATTTCCAAAGGGTAACTAGATCATGTAGCTAAATTTTGCAGAACATTTAACCACTTGGCACCTATGCATTGAGTTAGGTGATAATCATAATTGAATTTACATGAAGTATCTTGTTATGTGACAACTGTCTCCAGATTGGAGACCAGGAGATCAGCTATTGTACAACTAATATCTATTCCGTTATGAATCATAAATGGTAATGGGAATCAGTGTCTCAATCTATCACAATGACATTCATTTGATGGAGAGCTGATGAAAGGTGCAGATGGTTTACACAAGTAACAATATAATGGGATATTGTCTGCTTGAGCATCAGTGGGAATAATGTCTCTTGCAAATTTTCTCTTCATTTGTGTATTCCCTGCTGAATGCTATTGAAACTCTTTTAGCACTGTTTTGATTCAGGTTTTGTGTATTGATTGTGATTGCATTTGTTTTTCTTCTGAAGAAACAAGTACAACAACAGAGATAACCACTACATTTAGGTCTACTGCCAGTTCCTCAACTGGTGAGTGATTTCTTACATCATTAAATAAGAGAAAGAAATGCATAGCAAAAGTGTAATAAACCTGTTGTCAGGGAAAACCCTTTGTCAGTCTTAGCTCAAGAGCTATATTCTCAATTCAGGAAATGTTGGGATCAAAACCCCCCCTCCAGAGCCTTGTGCATTAAATCTAGTCAGATTTTTAAGATGTTCAACTGAGGAAGGTCAACAAAGGGACTGAAGTGTTGACTGTTGAATCAGACGCAAAGCTGAACATTGTCTGTACTCTCTGGTGAACTGGAAAATGACTGTGGTATTATATTGAAGATGGGCTTGAGCCAATATTTCTAAGAATAGATTTTTGTACAGCTTTATGTATTGTCCTGAAATTGATGGACATCATTCCTATTCCCCAACTGTGACCACACCTCAAACGTAATTTCCTTTCTGCAATGTGCTTTGGCTCATATCAGGTCCCAAGTCATTATAATAGTTTTAGTATTATCTGTTTGTACTGTCCATTTCTATGATGGAATACTTGTCGAGTCTATCTCCCCTCTCAATTCCATCCCATGTGGAATTGGCTGTTTGATTGTTAATGCTTTTTTTCGTCCTTCAGAAGAATCAACTACAACAACAGTGCCAGGCACCACAACTGAGACAACTGCCAGTTCCACAACTGGTGAGTGATAACTGCATTGAACACACATTACCAAGTTCATTAAATAGAATGGTTTTTGATCTTCAGCAACCTCACTGTGAAAGTGTATCAGTCACATTGGCTTCGCATGTGGCACAATTCTTTTTGAAGAATCTTATGTGATCTAAACTTCTGTCCTCGTTTCATCTCAATCTGTGTTAGTTTGGTTTTTGGTGAATGTCCGTTAAAGCATCTTTAGGAATCAAATTAATGTTTGTGGTTTTGAATATCACCTTTTTTTTTTCCAAAAGGAACAATGACAACAGTATCTCCAACCACACTTGGCTTTACCACAGCTTCCACAACAGGTGAGTGACATACAATCATAAAGCCTTGGATATAATGCTTGAACTCCTTATCAGTGGCAGTTTACTTCTCTGCTCTTCTAGAAACATTTCAAATCATGTTCAAGGCTATAGGTTATTAGCCTCAGTGTTGACAAATCTCATTCTGAATTATTTCAAAAACAAATGTAAAACAATCTCCCCGTACCATTCCATTATGTTTCTGTTCAAATAATCATTTAATACTGTTTTGAATGCCTGAATTTGATCAAGGCTTCACTACACTTCAAGGCATGCATTTCAGATCTCCTGTTATCATTCTTATTCCCAAGTATATGGCCTTATCTGTCCAATCTATCCAACTGGGATGCAGTTTTTCGCCTAAGCAACCATTCTTAGAAATGTCTACAGTCTGCTCTCCTATGCATTTACATCTCTCCTTTAATGAAATGCCCAGAAACATACACCAAACTCCAGATAAATTTTATTAAGTGCCTTGTGTAAGTTCAGCATATCCTCCTTGCTTTTCTATTAATGGCCGTTTTAATACAGCCAAGGTCAACGTGTGCTTCATTAATTGCTCTATCCATCTGTCCTGCCATCGTTAATGATCTATGCACCTACATGTGCAGCTTCCTCTACTACTGCACCCTCTTATGAATGTTATTTATTTCTTATTTTCCATTGTCTATCCATGTTATTCCTATGAAAATGTGTCACGTTCATTCACATTAAAGTATAACTGCCACCTTTCGACCCACTCCATCAACTTGCCTATTTCCTTTGCAGTTCTCCTCAGTTTACAATGCTTCTGATGTTTATATCACCACACACTTTGAAATTCTCCTCTGTACACCAAGATCTTCATGATTAATTTATATCATGAAAAGCAAGGGTCCCAATACTGACCGCACCAGAAATCTCCCACCACTCCCAAAAAGTAACCATTGACCATTGCTCACTGCATCCCATTGCTTAGCTAATTTTGTGTTCAAGCTGCAACTCTCTACCTACGCAATGAGATATAACATGACTCACAAGTCTGTGGTCTGGTACTTCTTGATTATGCCTTATTTTGAATTGCCAACTTAGAGCTCACAATTTAAAGCATTGAATCATGCTCTCTGGCTGAATGAAAGGAATTTATCTTCAAAGGGTAATTACATGTTGAAATGAAATTAAGCATATTTTTAACTGCTTGGCAAGAATAGTTTGAGCTAAAGTGATGATTGTGGTTGAATTTTGCATTGAGCATCATGATGCATGTGATCTTTCTCCAGATGGGAGACTAGGTGGCCAGCTAAAGAATAACTAAGAGAAATATCCAAGAATAACTAAGAGAAATATCCAATCTCTAACGGATGGCATTGTATTCTGCATTGCATCTCCTTCAACTTTTCAATGCACCCTCTGTATTCTAAGTGTCACAAGAGTGTGAGACCATAAATGATGATCTGACCAGTGTCTGAAACATTCACAATGATACTTGTTTGATGAAGAGTTTGTGAATAGTGTGGATGGTTTAAACAAATTGTGAAATTGCAGGGTATTAGGTGATTATGCATTAGTGGGAATAGTTTATAAACTTCATAACATATTCTCTCTTCATTTGTGTATCCCCTGCTGAATGCTGTTGAAATTCATTCACTGCTGTCCTGATTCAAGTTGTTTGTATTAATTGTGACGGCATTTATTTTGCTTTAAAAGAAACGACCACAACAACAGAGACAACGACAACAGCTAGTTCTACAGCCAGTTCCACACCTGGTAAGTGAGGTCATCCTTTTTCATTAACATGGGAAAGTAATTTGAAGCAAGAGTGTAACAAACTCCTGGTCAGGAAATGTTTACACTGTTGGTTTGAGACCACATTCTCAGTTCAGAAGGGATTATGATCAAATCCCACACCAGAGTCTTGTGCGATAAATTGAATCAGACCTTAAATGTTTGCCCGAGAAATGACAATACTGGGAATGGGTGTTACCTGTTAGATGAGAGGTTAGGTGTAACCTTTGTCTATACCCTCTGCTGGACATAAAAATACCTGTGGTATTCTGTTGAAGATGATTAGAGTGTTCCTATACAGCCAGAGAATATTACACCACAGAAAGACGTGTCCACATTTCAAATTTTCTTCAATTTAGAATTTTTTAAACAGCACCTGTTTTCCTTTTGGAAGAAACTATTTCAACAACAGTATACACCACTACACCAGTGTCTACTTCCAGTTCATCAAGTGCTGAATGAAATCTTAGAATCTGTTCAATAAACTTTGAACATGATCAGTTCTCTCAGCTTTAGTAAAATTATTTTGATAATTGAGATGATTGACCTCTCTCTTCTCCAGTAATGGATTCGAAATGAAGACTTTTTTTCTTATACATTTCATAAAATCCCGACAGTGTGGAAACAGGCCCTTCGGCCAAACATGTCCACACCGACCCTCAGAGCATCCCTCCAGACACATCCCCCTGTACCCCACCTAATCTACATATCCCTGAATACTATGGGCAAATTAGCATGGCCAATCCATCAAGCCTGTACATCTTTGGACTGTGTGAAACCGGAACACCTGGAGGAACCCCTCACAGACACAGGGAGAATGTGCAAACTCCACACAGACAGTCACCCGAGGGTGGAATTGAACACGGGCTCTTGGTGCTGTGAGGCAGCAGTGCTAACCACTGAGCCAACATGTCACTCCATTTATTTCCATAAATACATATGAGAGGAATCTTATTTACCTTTCATTCATAAAGGCAATAAAAAATATTTTGGAATTGAATCAAAGAGTTGTGAACTTCATTTTCTCTCATATTT